CATGACATTATTCTACCACCGAATTAAAAGAGTCTATTTGGTTTAATTAATGAACGAGTCAATAGGGTAATAAGGTCTATTTATAGGTATAGATTATGTATATATAGTAGACTCACAAAGACCAGTAGCTCATTCAGGATCGAGAATTTTAATTGATTTTCATTTTACTTAATGGGTATAGGTTAAAATAGATTCATTGATATTGTATTTGATAAATATCAAAGTGATGAATTGATTCAAAAACTAACACTATTTTTTCACAATTAAAACAGAACGAAGTTTATCTGATTGATACATACATGTATCTACTAATTCGACGTGATATTTCATCGAAAAGCATGTGATGAAAAGATTCGGTTTGTTCCCTGGACCAGAATTTTAAAAAAGAAAACTAACAATTTTTGAAGATTTGTTGACTATCCTTCTTACCATAGTTCCAGATTTTTCTTGTGTTAATTTCTTGATTTAATGAAAAAAATTTTGAAGTCAAAGCAACCAGGCGTATAAATTGGCACTGACTGGGGGCTACTGTAAAGTATACGTAGTAAATGTCGAGTTATTGAGTTTTAGTTGAACCTATCAGTATCTAAGTAGTGTGTTTAGATTGCATTCATGTTCTTAAATTATGAAGTTACTTGCTTACCTCTAGAGGAATGTCCTCAGTGTGAGATAAGAGAGTATCATCTGGAGTATTCATAGCTTTAACCAAGGACACCTTGCTGGCTTCCAGTCTGCTAAGATGCTGGTTGCTTGCTTAACAGACTGATTGTATGGAGGAGTTTCATTTAGGTCCTGAAGTGGATCTTATAGGGAAAAAGAACTGATCATTGTCAGTAACTAATTTTATTTTCAGGGAAGCTTTGCTAAATCTTTTTAAAATATTGCTCATTTGGAAGGGCTAGAGTGACATTTGGAGTTTCTTCCACGTTTTAGTTGATCATACAACTTTTTTAATTAATTCATCATGATTATAGTCTCATCCAAATTGAAATTTTGTTAACTTGTATTTGTAGTTATGCCTGGAAACCGTTCTGTATTACCTTAATTATGTCCTTAATATGTCGATATCAAGAAGTAACGCTGTTTAGCCATCATAACTGCGATCATGAAGCCATGGCATTGGATTTCTCATGCAATATGCTGATTTCAAGCCACATATTGGTGGCCATAAAATGACTTCATTTAGTGCTTGCACTGATGTTAATACTAAGTGTCATAGAACCTATTCGGAAGATTTTAATGGTGTTTATTTAACTGCAGGATGAACCTTGTGATATTTGCGGTGACATAGGCTTCAGAGATGCGTTAATGACATGCTTCCATTGCAGAAGAGCCCGGGAACATACGTATGGTTGCTTTAGACCAGTCCTCTATACGTGCTTGTGCACAAAATGCATATCCATCTCCTACATGCTTTTTGTACTTTTTTGTTATCTTTATGCGGTTGTGTGCTTCCGAAGATCATTGTTAGAAAGAGTTACTCATATTAACTCTTAATTAAATCCATTAAAACTTCACCTGTCCTTTTAGCTAAATTTCATCGTTTTCTTTGTCCTTTTCCATGTAGATATTGTATGCAGGAACATTTGTCAAACATCCCAAAGATGTGGTTATGCGAATTGTGTCGATCTGGCAGCAATACCTCTGTGATTGTCAATGATCAAGAGCTACAGCCTGTGGATTCAAGAGGGCCTTTTGTGGATTCAGGGAGTTTAGATCATGTGCAAATAGAAAGGCAAAGTGAAAGTGGCATTTGTACCGAAGAAGCTAAGAAGCTTTCATCAAGGACACAAAACGTGGAATATTCTTTCGAAAAAACTAGTCAGAATTCTGTTCAGGTTTCTGCAACCCTTGGAAATGTCACTGAAGGGCCAACGCTGAGTGAGAAACGAATTCTAGCTGGGCAAAAGTTAATTTCAAGAGGCCAACTCCTGAAAAAGAAAAAGACAAATTGAAATGGAAAATGCACTTTGATTGAGTCATATACTTCTTACAAAAATTTTCATTTTGCTTCTCCTTGAAAAGTTGCCTATCCTGGCATTGCCAAAGTTGGATAAACAACTGTCAGTTGTACATATGGCAGATTTATTCTTCATGGAAAGTTACCTAAATACTGTTGCCGAAGTAGATACCTTGTCTAACTATTTGTTCTAAATCATGATCTTTTTTGGTTTTTTTTCTCAGATGGTAAAACTCTTGTTCCCTTGCTGGAAAAACATACTTGCAATGAAGAGCCAGCAGACCTTGTAATGTCTGTTGAGAAAATCAGGAGAAAGGTGGTGGTAGATGAGGCTGCTAATTTCTTGTTTTGCTAGACCTTGCTTAACGATAGATGGAACTATACTATGCTTGAATTGGAACCCCTTCTTTTCCTAACTGTTTGTGATTGTAAAGCTTTTTTCTTGTGCTGCTCATTGAGTAGTTTTTCCAACAACTGAATCTTTATCTATTGTCAGAATATAAATGCTTTACTTGGCATAATAATCCTGTACTTCCTGTGGCCATGAAATGCGAGAAACAACAGCAGTCAAATGCCTTTCCCCCTATAAAGCAATCAAAAAGAATGCTGCCACCACAAATCGGCCATGGTGGACAATAGCAGGAGCTTACCAGACCTCGTCCTTTCTAGACATTCTTTCCTTCTTGCCAATAAAGGAAGACACTAGAAGCAGCATGTTATCCAAGTGACGGAAACCTTTTTCTACCACACTTCTACGAATCACCAAGTATCATGACAATTACAGAGATTGTCTGTAGAGAACTTTAAACCTCTGCACGTCTCCAAAGCTCAAGAGACTTTGCGTTGATATGCCAGGACCACCAGAAGATGATTTTTCTTCTTGACCAGTTGGTGCATTTTGTTACCAGAGATCAGTGGAGGAACTTGTAGTAGTGAATGCTCTTTCGATACAACCAGAAAAACTGTACGAAGTAACTGAACTTTGACTATAACGACAATCATCTCCTAATGCTGTAGTTTTGATCAAGACTTAGCTGATGTTATATATTCCATGCGTTTTTATGAAAGGTCTGGTTTGTCACCTTCGTTGTGCAATGAAAAGCAGAATATGTTACCGAGAAAATCTATTTGAAAGAATACACTACTGAGTTTTGTGGGATGTTGACAGTGTAACTACTGAAGATTATGCATTGATGATTTTAGATATAGAAAATGAATCATTTAGGTGGCAAATTAGGATGAGAAAAAAATAATTTGTACTGCATATTGGAAGTTGGATGAGTTTTACATTGTTTGTAAACAATTTATACAGGAAAATATATTCTTGGTAACTGATATTCTATATGCTTTTTACTTACTGTTAAATACTGGAGCATGTAATTTATTTCTTTGCTGGGTATTGTTTTCACATGGCCAATTTTCCCTGAAAGTAAGGGAATTATTAATGTTCTGCAACAGGTATAATATTTTTTAAAGTGAAAAGTTTTTATATCTTTAATGAAAATTGAAATTCATAATTTTCAAATAGATTTGTATTTTGTCCAATTTAACTTTTAAGTTTGAAGTAGATAAAATGTTTTATGTAATCTACCATTTATTTAAATATTTAAATAACTTAACGAAATTCACTTCTACTAAATTTATATATATATATATATGTGACTATGAATTTTTAAAAGCTAAATATTAATATAGATATATAAATTAAATATGTTTATTTTTTTATTATTTTTTATATAATTTAGTAACTTAATTAAATAAAAAATTAGAAGTTGTATTTAAATTAAAATTTAGTGTAAATGCCAATAAGATTTTTTTGAAAAAGTATTTGTATTTAAGTTTATTTATATATATATATATATATATATATTTTCTATCAAACCTTGAGTATGTTCTTTTAAGGAAACCGAGTAATTTATTATCCAAAGAAAATTGAAGAATAAGCTCTCTTGCCAAGACAACTCTTCCGGTCTCTCTCCCCTCTACATGCTACAGTTTATAGTTCCTTCCTGTTTCCATCCTTCTCTTCCATTTGCTTCTCTACCTTTTCGGCTGAGCCTCAACACCGTCTCTGCAGTAGCTGAACCTTTTGGGCTCCACGTGCTATGCACAGTAAGTAATGGTTAGGGCTCTGAGCTTGAATTTTGAGGTGCACAATTGGGTCTTTTTAAGAGATTTCAGCTCCTAATTTAGTTGATTTAGATGCTCGACTCTAGAGATGAGAAAGATCAATGATATGTTTGGAACAAATGAAGTTCATTTATGTAATTCAGTTATAATTCACATTTATTTTAACTTATTTAAATTCCTTCTAAGAATATAATCTCTAGAATTTTAAACAAAATTGAGATGATACATTTCAAATTTTAGTAAATTGTGATGTAAAAATGTACTTATTCTTTCATTTTCTGCAGATTTATCACACCTATTTATGATTTTTGCTTGTAAAAAGTTCTGAATAGTCAATGATGCTTGTCTTTGTTTGGGTTTTCTTGCTTTCTCTTCCTTTTCTTCATCCAATGACTTTCCGGTGAACAAGTTTCGTCCTGATTTACCATAGAAGTGTTTGTAGCAGTTCGTCTTGTCGGCCTTTTCTTTTAATGGCGGAAAGGGAGAGGAGGGATTGATGCGTGGCAATGGTAAAGTTTGATTTGCATATACTTGATTATCAGTTATTTGCCCTTGGATGTTTTATTATGATTGGATTGAGGGAAGAGGCCAGACATGAGGGGAAAAAAGAGAAAAGAACTGTCCAAAAAGAAAAGGAAGGAAGATAGATGCTAAAGGTCTCTCACAAACACTTCTTTTTTAATTTCCAAATTGATGCAGAGGGGGAAAAAAAAAAGAACATAAAAATCTTAGAAATAAACTATCTAAATTCTTTATTTGTTAATAAAGAGTATAATTTAAAATTCTTTTACCTAGTTGAACATATCTTGACAATGCGTAATTTACTTCGTCTGAACATTTAAATTAAACTGGGGTTTGTAGTAACTTTTACTTTAAATTATCCAAACAATATATCTTCACTTTCATCTTTTTAAAATTTGTTTATTCCCTTTGCTAATTTCTATCCAAACATAGTGTTAAGCTTTAATTAGCTTAAGCAAGGTGTGGTTTGTTTTTACTCAAAAAATCAGACGTTAATGCTTAGTATCTTTGCCATTTTATAGAAGGAAGGATTGCTAGGTGCTAAAAGAAGATAAAGAAGTTGGAGCATACCATTATGAAATTGAATCACTTTCACTTTTGATAAAATTTTAAACTAGACCATTTATACAGAGTTATGAGACATTATTTTCCCGAAAACAACTAACAATCTCTCTTATAGGAAATGGATTCTGCAATGTGCACGGGGATGTACTTCACCATGTCCATGTTGACTGCATGTCAAGCATCATCGTTTCTGCAACATTGCTTCATTTCCTCTTAATGTGTTCGGTACATTTGTTTGCTCTTCAATTTGCAGAACATTGCAGGTATTAAGTACTTGATATTTCATTTGACTAATATATTGCTGGATATTGGTTGCTCTTGAAGTTTTGTGGATGTTTTCTGTCACTAATGTTCAAAATAGAGTATGCAATGTTACCAATGCGCGTTATGCAACCTAATATCAGATATAACACATAGTTAGGTAATTGTGAAGTCTGATTGCTCTCACTAATTCTCTTTTAGTTTTTCCTGAAGAAGGAAATTGCACTTTGAGAAGTGATTATACAAAAAACCCACTTTTTCTGTGGTTTTTCCCACCGGTCCTGTAATCTGATATGAATTTTCTATTGTTTTTCTTTTTAATGGTACAGGTACTCTAATGGCTAGCATGTCTGAGTCTTCACCTAGGAAAATAGGAGGAGAACCATGTTTTGGCGAGGTAGAGATTGGGAAGATAGGTAGTACTATCAAAGGTGCTAGGTTGGAAGAACTTCGGCATGAGTTCCATATTCCTGCAGCTTTTGGTCTTAGGATTCCTCTCAAGGATGAACAAGTTAATAGTGTGCAAAATGGGGAGATATGTGTGTTTGAGGAATACCTTAAAGCCGGGTTGAGATTTCCCATCCATCCTTTCATTGAAGAGGTTTTTGAAGCATTTGGTCTTTTGCCTTGTAGACTAACTCCCAACTCTTTTAGGCATCTTATAGGTTTTCTGGTAGTTTGTCGTGAAAAGAAAATTCAGCCCTCGCTTAATCTGTTCCGAGCTGCATTCTCTGTTAACAATGTCTTTGGAGACAAATGGTTTTTATATTTTATGCCTAGGAATGGTTGCAAATTATTGTCTCATATGCCGCCAAATATTAAAAACTGGAAGGATAAGTACTTCTTTGTTAGCTCAGATTCAGGCTGGGGTTTCTCAACTCAATGGACAAATCAGTTCAATAAGATCACGAATTCTGTGATTCCCTTGTCTGGTGAAGAAGAAGGGGCTTTTGAGGTGCTTGCGCAGTGTGTGTTGGATGCTAGAAAAATTTTTGCTGATAAGTACCTAAGACAAGCTGGTATTAGTGGCGGTCACTCAGATTCCACATCAGAGGGTGAGTTATAGCCAGATGAGACAACAGGAGTTAATCATGCTCATCCTTTATTAATTTGTTAATTTTTATTTCCATTTCAGCTAGGAAGCTTGAGAAGCTTGTGCAGGTTCGTCAAACACAAAGGAAACGGCGAGTTGGGATGGAGACTAAGGTGAATCTAGCTGCAGCCAAGAGGAATGGGTGCAAGAAGATAGCTGGCCCTCAGAAGGCTTTAGCAAGTGATGGTTTCAGTGAGCAGCTCTTGGCTCAGGTCATCCATATTGCGCCAGATTCCCCTTTTGACATGGAACCTGAGACCGATGAGCCCATGCTGGAGGCTGCGGAAGTTTTAGTCAGCTCGCCATTTTCCATTCAGGAAATCAAAGGGACACATGAAGCTGCCCAATCATCAGGTAGTGAGCCAAGGGCAGAATCTGAAACTCATCCTAGTTCTGAGGAGACCACCCATCGAGTGGATGACTGCCCCGTAATTTCTGCCAATGGAGCTGGGACCACTACTAGGAGCATGGCCTCAGATGGACTTGATTCTTTACCCTTCATTCCTTTCACAGGGTTATCAGACACTGATACTATTTGGGTGGATCGCACTGGAGGTGAGGTGGCGAGAAAGCTTGTCCAAAGTATGATTCTTCCTTCAGACCGAAAGGAAGTATCTAGCATGTCGCCTACTGCTTCTGTTGAACTTATGTGTAAAGGCATAGTTCAGGTAAGGTTAGATACTTCATGCTTTTTCAAGTATTGTATGTTTACCTATATACTTTAATCACATTTACTGATCTATTCTGGTTAGGCTGCCTTGGGAGCATATAATACTAGTGAGATGATGATGCGGGTTTTGAATGACTGCAAGGAGTTAAGCAAGGACACATCCCACTGCAAGGAAGAGAGTAGGAAGCTCCGATCCAAATACCTTGACACCAAACAACGTTTAAGTGAAGCCTCGAGCCAAATTGAGGACTGGAAGAAAAAATTTTTCGACTTGAGTGCTGAGGTTCGAGAGGTGAAGGACAAGGTCAAGAAGCAGAGAGCTGAGCTCTTGGCTTGTGATACTGCACGTAGAAAGTTAGAATCTGATCTTTTGAGCATACAGACCATCCATGAAGTCAATCTTAAAGAGGCAAGAGAAAGAGCTGTAGCTGAATTCAAGTCCTCTGCTGAAATCAAGGAGATGATGAAGTCTGCTGTCAAGAGAGCCTCGGAGAACTTCAGTAAGAATAAAGAGTTTGACTGCTAACTAGCAGAATGTTCTCTCGGTGATTGTGAAGACAGCTTGAGTATATTGGCTGCTGAGTTTCTTGACTCAATTAGTAAAGTTACGGTTGCCACCATCTCTTGGGAAGCTCCTGGGTTGGAACTGGCAGCCAATGCTAGCAATAGGTAATAGAAGACATCTGATTAGCTGTTCTTTCTCGTCTGTAATTATTATATATATATATATATATATTTATATTTGGCTTGTAAATCTGCAGTTGTTAATAAAAGGATGATGTTTAAGTTTAAGTTCCCAGTTGGACTGTATCTCTGTCAACTGCAGTTGCATTTACCAAAAGCAAATCATTTTGCCAATGCTTGCTGGCAGATAGTAACTAGATAGTAACTTGACTTTGCTCAAGGGCTTCATTTAATTCATTTTGAAGTTATCTATTATCACTAAGTTTGTTTTCAGGCCAAAGTGACTAAATCGGTGAGTGGGAATACTTCATCAACTGGTTTTTTAAGCCTGAGTTGAGTGCATAAAAATTTTCCAACTCTATATTTTTAAAATGTTTCAGTTGTATGCAATACTAACTGTCATCTCTATATTCTAATTACATCTATTTATTCTGCAGGACAAGCCTTGTGACGTATGCTAATTACCATGTCTCTTTCAGCTCATTACAGGGAGGTACTGTAGAAGATATTGTCTTATAGGTGAAAGGTGGAGAGATACAAGTCATGAGTTCCAAAACAAAGAAGAAGATTTTGTAGAAGAGAAACAGTAAGTTCATCAGTTTCTTAATATTCAATCCTTTCCAAAATAGTATAATTTTTTATTTGTGAATTCAAAGTCATTTCTTGCCTCTTTTTTGTTCGAGTGAACTCGAACTGCTAGCATCTGAAAACAACTATTGTAACCTTCTAATTCTGGGATGTTTTCCTCTTCGGATTTTCATTGCTCGTATCGTTTTGTTTAAAATCCCAATCGTCAGTATCAATTTTCTCTGAATGCTGATTTTAGGAGAAACAAATTCTCAATATTGCTTCTCCTTAATTGTTTTTGTGAGCCTGCTACCTGAGATTTTGATTATGTTTCATCCTGGGGCATGGAAAAGTTCTTGTTGTTTATGGCATTGTACAGTTGACTGAGGAAGATGAATGCACCTACCAGGATTTGTTCAATTCCATCACCATAAGAGGTGATTTTTATGTTTTTTTTTAATTATTATTTCAGTTATGTGGTAAGAAATTATATTAAAATTAACAGGTATGTTTATTATGCAGGACTAGGTTATTATTCTTTAAAAACAGTGGGCCGGGTTATCATTATATTCAAAGGTTAAGAATATTCTTATAATTTACTTAATAAGTTTTTTACAAGGATATCATCAAAAAGAATTTCATTTATGTACTTGTTATTTGCATTAAATTGGTTTCTAACATTTGAACTGAAATAACTTGCTCCTGTTCAACTTAAAGACCATGTTTGTAGTTAAATAATTATTATTAGCACAGCTACTATTATCATCATCGTTATCTAATAAACATTCTAAATATTAAAACTTAAATTTTTTAATTTTTTCTTTGGAATTTAGCTAAAATATGAGGGGAGAATACTGGAAAGGACTCTTTTAACTCTTAGAATATATATATATAACAGATATTGTTATTTGGTGTATTAATTTGATAAAATAAAATGTAAGGAGCTGCTTTAATTAAAGGAATCAATTCGACATAAATAATAAAGTACAAGAATTTTTCAAAGCAACCCTATATTTTATATTTGTTTGGAAAAAGCAATCTTATATGTTGAGGGCATTGTATAATTTTTAACCATGTTCTTATTGTAGTTCAAATCTTAGATACTTCCTCTCTTTTCTTCTTAAATCAGTTTACAGAAGAGAGTTCTTTGGGACATCATACACATTTGAAAGTAAACAAATCTTCTTTGTTCTTCGTTAATTCTGGGAACAAGAGATTGGATAAACAAAATGAAACTGCAATTTACTTAAATCATTTAATTTTATTTAAAATTAAGATTAATACATAGATTTTTATAAAAATGACCAGATAAACTGCAAGAAAACTCATTCTCTTTCTTCTAAATTTAAAAATTTGCAGAAATGTGAAAATTTGGTTTAGTAGTACTAATGACAAAATACTGAGTTTACATAACTGGATATGGGTTTATCAATTTGAAAAGCATCAAGCCCATGGCAGAAAAAGGGTTCATGGTGTGTTACTTCTCAATCTTAAACTTCAAAGGTTATTTGTGTTGCATATGTTATTGCTTGCGCTACCTGCAATTCTTTATTACAAGTGACCTTTTATGGTAATAGTCAACCATACTTAAGCAAGACTCACTCAACTTGCAGACAACCCACATTTGAAAGTTATTTGGAAAACCATATGAACCAGAAGTTAGTTAACTTCTTATCGCATTATGTGATACTCCCCAAAACATGAATAATGATGATAAGAAAGGAAAATGAAACAAACATCCAGGTTCCTGATCCTTTAATCTACCAAACAAGAATACATAACAAATCCAAAACTCATCTTATAAACCACATCAGAATTCAACTAGACAATAAATGTTCGGCATAAAAATGATATAACAGAAGTTCCCAGAGTAATTTTCTCCCCAAGAAAAAGTTCTCTAAGTAAAAAGGAAAGACAACTAAAAGGGACTAACTTCCAATTCATAATATGAAAAAAAGTACATTTACTAGGTGTTAGTGGCCCTAGTGTAGATCTGCTGGCTAGCATGTGCAGATATCATCCTAATTGAACCTCTGGCCATCAAATCCTTGATTGCTCTGCGTGCAAGTGAACCGTTAATCTGCAATAGCACAATGGAAACAAAAGAATTGTTAACCAAACCCAAAGAGGAAGCATTCATCATGCACATGATAGCAAGTCACATTCAGAGAGATATAGAGTTTCAAAACAGTTCACACGTATAGATTATTCAACACTTATTGGGTGCAGTCAGGGGCACATTTCTTGGTCATGGAAGAAATCCATGATGTAGTAATTGAAATATGCTCCAATTATGATAAAGACATGAGAACAGTAACCACTCAGCCCACAGGCTAAGGGTGAGTTGTCAATGACTTAGTTCTAAATAAAGACACAGTCACTTGTACTTACCAAAATTCGATAACACAGTGTAAATGAGAACTTGTATAATGTCTATTCATCTTAGATCTTTCCAGACATTGGATGGTTTATGTGAACATCGACAATAATAGTAGTGATGGATTACGTTGATAATGCAAAAACAAAAGAACCAAGCACGAAAGGAACTACATCCAGCCACAAAAGTGGTAACTTCCATCCCATCCTTTAGTTTAGGCCAGAATATCTTTACTAGATTTTAGCATCAATCCCACTTTATAGGGAATCTGCAACTTAGGCATTAAAGAGCACCTAAGGTCAAAAAGCACACAACAAAAGTACCCAGCAAAATAACTCTGGAAGATCTTCTATTGATTATTCAAATGTCTACCGCATACTGAACAATGACATATGTACACGCAGTAAACAAAAATTGATAGCAACCAGCGAATTAGATTACTTATGGTAACAAAGACTCCAAAGTTTTGACAAGTCAGGAAGAAGACAAGAGTAACAAAAAATAAAGTGAACAAACATATGCAAAATTGTAAGAGGAATATACCCTCAATCTGTCAGACAAGATTGAAGGAGTGACAAGCTTGTATTTGGGGACTTCACTAAGAAGCTTGTCATAGGTCGCTTGATCAAACAAAACCATGTTGTTCACCTTCTCCTTTTGTTTTCCCTTGCTCCACTTCTGCACACCAATCACTCAGTTAACATCCCCGTTAAAGACACGTAAAATATTAAAAGAGTACCAAGAAGAAACAAGAAATATTAAACTCTCGTGTCATTTGAAGCTATTAACGGACTAAAGAAAATTTAAGTATATTTAGCAACGGAGAAAAATTGCTTAATCTATTGGATAGCAACCCAAATTCCACGGGAAAATACAACTTTCGCAGATGAATTTAACATATAAAATTGCATAAAATAAAGCAAAACAAAAGAGACAATCAACTACCCAACCTCAAGATATTATAATGTAATATCAAAATCACATGTTTATTACAAATATTATATATACAGAGAATCATAAGAAGTGGCTAACCCAGTTATGCAAGACGCTATAAATTCTTCCATTAACAGAGATAGAAAATAAAATTTGCATCGAACTTTACCTTCTTCTTCTGCTTCCCTCCACCAGATTTGGCTGGCTTCGATGACGGTGGTGGAGCCTTATCCTTCTTTGGCGCCTGTCATCACACAATCAATCGTGACTGTCAAAAAACAAACATGCCACAAACAAAAACCTAACACTAGTATCCCGTTTGGCTGCCGAGAAAGCATGGGCAAAACTCGCATGACAAACTTTGAATATCACTTTATTTCAATAGCCACTCCTTTCTCGACAACCAATTTATATTAACGAATAGATCAAAGAAAAACTGAAGGCACCTACCATCAGAACGTTTTAGGATTTTGACGAACCGAAGGACTGGATGAGAAGCTACCCCTTGAGGTGAAACAAGAGATTATATATGGTAGGGTTTTCTGCGATGCTGGAAAGGGATGTGTTTGGCATTGAAAATAATCCATCCCTATTCCGGTTTAGGGTGCAAGACAAGCAGGTCTCAAAATAAAAATTTCAAGTGGGCCTTTTAGGAATGATCCATTTTAAAATTAGTACCTCTTGACCCATGAACTTCCAAAAAATAAAATCTAAATGACAAAAAATAATAATATAGTGTAGTTAATTGGTTTTTCTTAAAAAGGTAAATGAAATTTATTAATATTAACATAGTCTATAAACACATAAAAGACTCATGATAAAAATGATGAAATAAAAAAATACATAATAAGAAATTAATATCTAACAACCAAACAAGACACACAAAGAACAAAAATAAAACATGAGAAACGAAGAACAAAAAACTTCACATAAGCTTTCCTAGAAATAATGAGCAAATAAAGATTGCCAAGTAGAGACAAAAGAAAAAGTTGAAACCCAATAAGCATTAAAGAAAATCAAGACAATGTATCCCATGATAGTAAATAGATTCAATAACATAGATAAAATTATATTAGAACAAGTCAAAACACTACTTTAAATTGTCACAATTTTCGCAAAGAAAAAAAAAATCCACCATCACCAGAGAAATAGCTCATTATCAATTTAATACATATAACTTCTTATTGGTTTGAATATCCTTTGTGAATTATTTATTTGATATAGTTTGAGCATTTTAATCTTGAATGCATTCATTCACAAAGTAAGAACTCTTAAATTCATTAGTCAGAGTTTGAGAGACTTTAATTTATTTTATTTTTTCAACAACAAGAAAAGGTTGGAGAGACATTCATAAAGTTTTGTATATTTATGGTAGACGCTTCTGGGTAGTATGACGTCTATGGTTGAATTTTTACGAAAAAATAATTGTTGTTTTCTCCAAATATCCCTTTCACATGAGTTTTTCCTTGGTTTATCATATTTGGTGATAATTTGCACTCAAATTAAAATCAATAAACTTTGTGAAATTGTGGAAGGAAATGTAGAATATTGAGTTGAGAGGAAAAGAATCTCAGGTTTTAGAGTTTGGAAAAATGAGAGATCTTTTTACTAATGAATATTAATGGGAAATTTATACCCAAGATGTAATGTATAGCTATTTACGAATTTGACTTTTACTTTGTAAACAATTACAATTGATACCCTAACTATTATTTACTCTAATAGTGTCCTCTCAAGCTGGAGTATACAGACTTTAGATACCTAACTTTATTATAGCATCCTAAAATTGAGTAGTAGAGAGAGGTTTAGTAAAACAATCAGCAAGCTGATGAGGATAAAAAACTAGTAACAATCGAACAAGTCTTTCATAATTTTTTTGTCGGAGAAGATGACAATCAATTTCAGTATGCTTCATCAACTCATAAAATGCAGGATTTTCAACAACTTTTATAGCGAAAATATTATCACAATACAGTTAAGCTGTCTGAAATTGAATATATAAATACGTAAGAAGATATTGCAACCACTGCAATATATAAAGTGACTATAGCCAAAGCCCGATATTCAGTTTCAGACGAAGACCATAAAATAGTTTGTTATTTTTTGGTCTTTCAGGATATGAGCACATCACCAAAAAAGACGTAAAACCCAGTAAAAGGCTTACGTGAGTCTGCACACTAAGCCTAACCAGAATCACTAAACGTTTTTAGTTGAAGTGAATTATGAGAAGAATAACAAAATCTAAGTGTCCCTTGTAAATATCGTAAGACCTAATGTGCTGCTTACAAATGGGCACATATAGGAGCATCTAAAAATTGATACAATTGTTGGTATGAGTAATAAATATCAATTCTCATGTTGGTAAGGTATAAAAGTTTACCTACATATTGCCTATATGAAGTAACGTAAACAATAGAATATCCATCTTATTTGATTAACTTGTTAGATGATACCATAGGGGTTACAGCTAGCTTGCAACCCAAGAAACCCATATTTCGAAGAAGATCTAAAGTATACTTCCTTTAATAAATGTTAATGCCTTTAGATTATCAAATTACCTCAAATCCCAAAAAAACTTCAAATATTCAAGATCCTTAATATTGAATTGTTCATGTCATTAAACTTTAACTGATTGAATTTCATCTAAACTATTATTGGCCAATATTACATCATCTATATATATGATAAGTACAGTGAATGAAGAACCAAAGTACCTTGAAAATAATAAAGAGTTTGAATGAGACTGTATAAAACCATAATTTTTCAAAACAAATTCCACTACCTGCTAGTCTGCTTCAAACCATATAATATTTTCTTCAACTTGCACACCTAGTTGTTCTTTGGATCTTGAATTCTAGGTGGAAGAGTTATATACACCTCTTTATAAAGATTTTCATACAAAAAACATTATTAGTATCAAGCTGATGTAAATAACACTATTTATCTACAATAATTGCTAAGAGTATCCCAATAGTAGTTAACTTAGCAACCAGGAAAAAAGTGTCCAAAAAATTAATTCCAGATTATTGAGTATAACCTTTAGCCACTAACCTGCCCTTATACCTTTTAATAAATCCACAGCCCTTTTTTTTATTTTATAGATCCACTCACAACCAATAGGAGTCTTGCTAGATCATAAATCAACCAAATTCCAAATTTGATTATCCTTTAATGCCTTAATTTTAGTATTCGTTGCTTCTTTCCAACATGGAAATTTTATAGCTTGATCATATGTTTTAAACCATGTGTACAAGTAATAAGGATTTGCAAAAAGTTCATCAATCTTCGACGAATTTAAGCTTGCTGAAGTATCCATAACAATTTCTGAAGATAAGTTTCAAATTTTGATCTATGACAGAGATATAAAACCCAGGTTTTTTTGCTTAAGCTTCAAGTAGTACAAATTGAGAGAAAAAATCATAATTACTCTGATACCATGTCAAATTTGATGATAATCTGCACTCAAATTACACATAAGCTAAGTGAAATCAAGAAATTTGGCGAAATTGTGATAAGAAAATGGAGAATGATGAGTTAAGAGGAAAAAAAACTCTCATTTTAGAGTTTTAAAAAACGAGAGATCCTTTCATTAATGAATATTATCAGGCCAAGATGTAATGTACAACTATTTATAAATTTGATACCCTGATTACTATTTGCTCTTGTCTGGTTATGAAGTAAAACTTAAAACATTTGTTTTTTCCTAGTTATATGATTTATACTTACTTACATGTTGTTGTAATTTTGTCTGACAATTGATCTCCCTTATTTTTTGGTAGCAGTAAAGTATCTTTATAGTCAAACAATAACGTTTATAAAAATTCATGTTTTGTTTTTTTATGAAAAAAGGTTGTAATGTACTTATGATCAATATTCTAACAACTAAACCTTTTTTTTTTCAAAAATAAAAACAATGCAGGAACAAAGAGAATAATTACTCAAAAAAAGATATTATATGTGAAAACCGTTTCTTAATCATACCAAGTTTACATGTGTCTCATAATGTGTAATTTAATCTCTATGAATAAATAGTTATAATGATTTACTAGGTAGGAAAATGTACTAATTGACTTTCTTCCTATGTATTAGGGGAGGCTTCAAATTTTTTTATACTTCCATGCCTAGTGAATTTTATGGGGTGTTCCACACTTAAACTCTATATAGTCCATCAAAAAGCTTATGAATTTTTAAAGATTATGCTTATAGTCCTCCAAGTTCATTTATTTCCTAGAGGCTATATCTCCCCATATATGTTCTAAATTGATCGTATAATACCCAGATCCATAATTTGCTCCAAGATCAATTTTGGTATTTAAAAATAAATAAAAAATTATTTATAAATTAGTTTAATTTAATTTTTGTTGAATTTATTAAAAAAATAGGTTAGGGATGTAATCAAAAATAATTTTTTTTAAAAAATGTGAAAATTAGGTCCGGATGGTATTTTTGAAAGAAAAATTAGAAGTAGGGGATCAAAGTATAAATAGAAAAAATTGTACCACGTAAGACCGCTCAGTCAGCAGCCCCGACGAACCGGAGCATGCCATGTGGCAAGACACGCTGATGTCAGTGCCACGTGGAATGTCGCGTGGGCGATCCGCGTGCCCCACGATCGGATGACCCAGGATCGATCCCGCGTGCGTGGACGGCCTGAATTTGTTTTCTCCTTAAACACGATCAGATGGCCGAGCTCAAATTGCAATTGACGGTCTAGATTTATTTCATCATTGGTCACGATCGGACGAATAAGATCGATCACAATAGACAGTCCAGATCAATGCAGGATGGATATAAATATCTCGCATCAAATGGAAACCCAAACCCTAGCCGCCAGCCCCGCTAGAGAAGAAAAATCAGACGCTGGATAAGGAGATCGACCGCCGCTGCATTGAAGCCACTGCCGACCGCTGAAAAAAATAAAAATTTCTCCTACCCATTTGGAATTCGATTCCGAGCACCCCTGTGACAAAATCAAAGGCAAAATAATGACGGACGAGCCGAAAATTGTGGGCAAAACTCGACAAAGCTGCCGCGGCCAAAGCCCCAAAACCCCTTCAAGGAGCCCCTTCTCTATTCCTGTTTCATGGGATTTTTCAATCATTGTATTTACTGTCTTTTCTTGTACAGGTTAGCTAAAGAAAGAACCTCAATCGCGAAGGAGGACCGGAGGAGCCGTCGCACCTGGAGGTCCTCCCCATCGGTAAGTTCGATTTTTTATAATTTTTTGGTCAACTGAGGCCCCTAACGTGTTTTTCTGCAATGATACAGCATAGCGGCATCGTTGTGCCGAAACCCCAAAATTGACCACAATGAGTTTTAGATACCGATTTTAGATTTATAGGGTATTTTTAGGTACGTGATAAGTATTTTAGATTCCGCATATAAAATTCAGGAAATTGGGTATCTGATAGGAGGCGTAGTAGACAGCTCAATATCTTAGAACATTGATCTGGATAAGGATCCCTCACCTTATTTTCCGTTATGGTAAATTGAGGCTTAACGTTGTATAATTTTGTATTTTTATGAAAAATTAAAAAATCCTAAAAATAATTACAGTTTACTAGTAGAGACAAAACCGGTTAGTAAACAT